TGTTATATTGTTTTTAATTAACTAACCAAGTAGCTTTGTGTACTAACCTGTCCAAAACGTGATCCTGTCCCAGTATCCCAGTACACCAATCCCAGTCCCATGATCTTAGTGCCCCATTCCCAGTACCATGCAATCTTACTGCCCTCACCCCAGTACCCATTTGTCACGAGACCCAGTACTCGCATCATCCAGTACTTGCATCTCCCAGTAGCCACTTCCCCCAGTATGAGACCCAGTCCACCAGACTAGTGCCTCCAGGTCTTGGTATCATGCCAAGGTGTGGTGGCAGTATAAGTGTTGGTGTCGCAGGTGCCACTGGAGGCCCCGTACACGCAGGCAGTCTGAGCTCCTACCTGTCGCTGTACCTGGCTGCTCTCCTGGCTCTAGTCTTGCTAACCCTTGGCTTCACCCTCCTAACATGCAGGTACTCCAGGTAAGCCTTGTTAACATGCCGGGGGAGAAGAATTGATACTTCTTTTACCTGCCATCTTCCTCCTCCTCTCCCCCTACTCCTCCTCCTCCTCCTCCTCCTTCTTCCTCTCCTCCTCCTCCTCTTCCTCCCCTCCTCCTCCCTCCTCTTCCTCCCCTCCTCCTCCCTCCTCCTCCTCCTCCTCCTCCTCCTCCTCCTCCTCCTCTTCCTCCTCCCTCCTCCTCCTCCTCCTCCCTCCTCCCCCTCCTCCTCGTCCTCCTCCTCCTCCTCCTCCTCCTCCTCCTCCTCCTCCTCCTCCTCCTCCTCCTCCTCCCTCCCTCCTCCTCCTCCTCTTCCTCCTCCTCCTCCCTCCCTCCTCCTCCTCTTCCTCCTCCCCTTCCTCCTCCTCCTCCTCCCCTCCTCCTCCTCCTCCTCTTCCTCCTCCTCCTCCTCCTCCTGGCTCCTTCCACACCAAATGCCAACGATGGTTTGTTTGGTTGCCGTACAGAGTTGTAATAAATGACTTCAAGTCTATTATTTTCTTAACCACATCACTTACAGCCTGTTCCTCCTACACCCACTGTTCCTCCTACACCCACTGTTCTCCTACACCCACTGTTCTTCCTACACCCACTGTTCTTCCTACACCCACTGTTCTTCCTACACCCACTGTTCCTCCTACACCCACTGTTCCTCCTATACCCACTGTTCCTCCTACACCCACTGTTCCTCCTACACCCACTGTTCTTCCTACACCCACTGTTCTTCCTACACCCACTGTTCCTCCTACACCCCCTCTCTACTGCCTTGAGAGCCTCTCTACTGCTACTAGCGGGGGTTTCTGCCAGCAGAGGGTCGGGAAAATGGAGTCAAAAACAAGCAGGTCCTGGGAAGTAGTGAAATGAAGTTGATAATGTTGAAATAGTTAGCTTGTATTAACAAATATCAGTGTACAAATGTAAAACAGATAGAAACGGGAAGAAATATATTGAGGTTTATTATACTAATAGTAGAAGCTCGTAACAAAATGACCTCAAAGCTCAGGGCCATTGAAGAAGAGAACATAGATATAATTGCATAACGGAAACATGGATAAATTCAAACAGCAAGCATTTTTTAGCAGAATTTCATATTCCAGGATATAACCTATTTAAATTTGATAGAGCAGGAAGGAGAGGGCGGTAGCAGTGCATATCAGTGCCATGAAAAGCCGCACAATCAAAAGATAAAACAACAAATAGCGACAATGAAAAGTATTTGGCAGATTATAGGTGGTGAACCGTGAGTCATTGGAAAGTTACATATGTAATCTCACTAATTTGGAGTAGGAACGATGGTAAATTGCTATGGAGGAAGGAAGAAGGCATCTGATAGAAAATAATGTATGTATTCTAGGTGATTTAACTTTTAGTTTAGATTGGAAAAATCAACTTACGTATAATGAATCTGAAGATTTTCTAGAAGCAGTACAAGAGTGTTTTATGGTCAATTCCAGCAACTCACTCAATTAGAGTGGAAATAATATCCCTATTGAGTCTTTTAGAATAATGAAATTCAGTAAAAGGATTTTGGGATTGGAGACTAACTAGGAAACAGTGATCATAAAGCCATATATTTGGGCAGTATAATATGGATGGCAGGAAGAAGGAAAATTGCCCTTGATCCCGGATTTTAGAAGGCCACCATGTAGCTTAAGGACTTAAGTGATGAGACCCTTATATCAAAGATTAATCCCCACACCTCCCGAAATCTGTCAATTGTAGATGGATAACCTCTGAATTTAATTTAGCAGCTACTTATGAACAATTTATTGCGACAATCAATAATGCCTAAAATAAAACACATCATCCCTAAAAGAAAATTAGATCGACACGAAATCCAACTAAAATATTGAAGGGATTCTTAGGATCTTCTAGGGAAAAAGTAGGTATAGGTATAGAAAAGTTAGAAGAAAAATTGCCTTACTTGGTTACTACTAGAATCCGCACAAGACAGGTAAAAAATGAAATTAGGGAAAGGAAGAGAAAACAGGAAATCAAGGTAGCAAACTAATCGAAAAGGTCCCAAAGCTTTTTATCAACTGTATAAATCAAAGGTTAGAGATATAATAGTCTCTTAAAACTATTTACAGGAGAATGACTGATGATGATAGAAATGTAATGTTGAATAGTGTTGCTATTCGTATTCGCCAAAATGAAAACCTGGTGCTAATAAAGTCGCAGAAGTTCGCAGTAGTGGTAGCTGGATAAAGAGTAGAAAATATGCTGATGAATATCACGAATAATATTAGTAACTATGTCAAAGTAATTAATAAACTGAAGTTTCATAAATCGCCTGGTCCAGACGAGGTATATGCTAGAATATTAAAGAATGGAGATGAGTTGAGTAATCCAGCTGAAGTGTTTTATTTAATAAAGTCAGTTAGGAATCGGGCCTAGGTGCTGGGTGCTTTGGAAACTGGCAAATGTAGTTCCGATTTCAAAAGGTGATAAATCAATAGCATCAAATTAATATCACCATTAGTCTCAGATAATGTCAATCATAGGTAAAGTTGCTAGAGTCAATTATTGCTACAAAAATTGGTGAAGCCAAAATTGGGAAACATCTTTAACTTAATTATTCTTCTTGCGTCGGTTCACTCCAGACGTTTTGTTTGGCCACAAATTTGCTTAGTTTTTTTCTCAGAAGCATATGAAGTGGTAGATAATGATGCTGTCATAATATTATAACTTATTTAGATTTCAGTAAGCATTCGATAGAGTCCTCAAGAGACGATATGGTAGAAGCACAGAATAGTGATCAGTATTAAAATGGATAGCTTCATGGTTAACTTGCAGGAAACAAAGAGTCAGTATTAAATGATTTCAGTGTCGATTAGTGTGGTCAAAAGTGGAGTCTTGTGGGGATCTTATAGGGCCTCATGGTTAGTTATATTCATTAATGATCTTGATTTTAGGGGAACAACTAGTAGGATTAGTAAATTCTGGTAGATAGATACCAAAAATGGGGGAGAGTGATACCAGACAGTGACTTTGAACACCTTCAAAGAGATCAGATACCTTATATGAGTGGTCAGTGAGATCAGCAAACGAATTTTAATACTGATAAAATGCAAGTACTACAGATAGGAAGACGAATACAAACGTTAAGTATAAACCAGGTAACACGAAATAGAAAACTCAGTTTAGAAAAAGATCTAGGTGTATTTGTTAAAGGTACTGATTTAAGTCCTTAGAAATGCATGTAATAGTTGCCCGCACAAGGCAAACAGAGCCCCAAGTTCATATCTAGGTCTGTGAGTAACAGAACTGCTGACGTTATTCTTGAAACTTCACTCTAGCATTATGAGGCCACATGGATTATGTGGTTCTGCCCTGGTGTCCTTATTATAGAATGGACATAGATTCTTTTGAGGAGAGTACAAGAAGAATGACAAAAACAGATCAGGAAGATGTTAGAAACCTCCTATATGAAGAAAGACCGAAAAGCTTTAGAAGGTATCTATTGAGAGGGGAGATAGGGAGGTGCAAGGCGGGGTAAGTGATTAACAAGGGTAAAGTTAAAGATGTTCTAGCTCAGTAATAACGAAAGAACTAGGAACAAATGGCTTTTAAATTAGATAAATTGATTCAGAAAGGATAGGCGGGCAATTGGTTGGTAATAGAGTTGTGGATATGGAATAGTTACTGAGTGCTATAGTAGGATCAGGGACGTGTTAGAGCTTCAAGACGAAGTTGGCAGGGCACATGGAAGTGCTGGATGGTGAAAAGGATCTGCTCTGGTAGCCAGTCGGCCTCCCGTAGTATCCCACTTTCTTATGTTCTTGTTCTTATGTTTTCCCTATACCCACTGTTCCTCCTACACCTGTTCCTCCTACACCCACTGTTCCTCCTACACCCACTGTTCCTCCTACACCCACTGTTCCTCCTACACCCACTGTTCTTCCTACACCCACTGTTCTTCCTACACCCACTGTTCCTCCTACACCCACTGTTCCTCCTACACCCACTGTTCTTCCTACACCCACTGTTCTTCCTACACCCACTGTTCCTCCTACATCCACTGTTCCTCCTACACCCACTGTGTGCACTAGTTAACACAGGTGAGATGACTGTGTGCACTAGTTAACACAGGTGAGATGACTGTGTGCACTAGTTAACACAGGTGAGATGACTGTGTGCACTAGTTAACACAGGTGAGATGACTGTGTGCACTAGTTAACACAGGTGAGATGACTGTGTGCACTAGTTAACACAGGTGAGATGACTGTGTGCACTAGTTAACACAGGTGTTAGGAAACAGGTAAGTCTCACTATGTATTGCCTCGTAGTCGTGCCTGGCATGATGCATGTTCGTACACTCGCTGGCTTCTTATCATACTGTATAATAGTGTTTTATTGCATTTTTTTCTATAAATTTATAAATAGTTTTGTAATCCAATGATTCGTATTGTATTTGTATCATTACATTAAATTCTGCTAACCATTAATTATTTGTTTCCTGAATGAATATTAAAGATTAATTAAACTTAACAGTATCCTAAATCATTGTAATCACGTTAAAGTGTGTAAAGATGTTGTTGGTCCCACAGATCGCAGTTGTCACGGGCCACTGAGAAACATCCGTCACTCACACGGTCGTCGATGTCCACGCAATCAGCCGGCGGCCCTGTGGGAGTTGCTGCAGCAGACCCTCGCCCGCAAGCACAAGGTGTCTCCGTGGACCAAGACACAACTCCTGAGCTGGTCTCCCACCCACACAGGGAGCGCTTACTGGCTCCATTACATGCGTCCTGCCCAACACTCTCAAACTCGACCCCAAAGCAGAGGGAACAACAAGACAGCGCCCACCCTCAGTGGTCCTGGGCCTACGACCAGTGGCCTCCTGCAGCCTCCCTCCTCCCCAGGATTCCTTCCGCTGCCCCACACAACCGAGCATCCAGAGGTATTAGATTCTCTTCTTCCCGACCTCGATCGTTCGCATGTTACCAGGCGCAGAGATCCCGTAGGTCTCTCAATGCCACCCTCGAGTCCTCCGGCCGCATCTCAGCCAGTACCTACTCGAACACACGGCCTTCGACTGACCACTCCACCCAGCTCTCTAATGAGGAGCGTCAAACATGACGCTGTACAAGACCCACAGCTGGATATCCTCCTACATTCACCTCCTCCACAGCTTAGTGAGGACAGTGAGAGTGAATATGCACACCACATCCGCTATAAGAGTCGGCTACGGCGCCGTCACCACCACAGGCACCATCTTACAGACCCGAGGGATCGACCTCCGCACAATAGTTTGGAAGAAGCTCATGTACCACAATTTACTAGACCGACGGGGGACCAGAGAATGACGAGTTGGTCTGGATTGGTCCCTCAAGGTAAACCCCAGCACCCCGTCTTCTCTCTACCTGACCACGCCCCGCCAGCACAACCAACGACAGTGACGCCCTTATTCCACACAGGGGCATTATCAGGTAGAGGAGCTAGTACGCGGCTGATGTACTGAGAAGTGATAACATAATACATAACAAACCAAAACGAACCCAACAAAACCTAACCAAACCTATCAAGGATACCTATCCTGACCCATCCTAACCTAACCTAACCCATTCCAACCTCGCCTAACTAAAGCAAACTAAACCTATCAAGGTAACCTAACCTAACCTATCCTAACCTAACCTAACCTAACCTAACCTAACCTAACCTAACCTAACCTTTAGTTGATAATCTTTCTTCCCTTTTTTTCGCCACAATGTTGCTTCACTCGCTGTCTTTTACAGGTACTTTAACAGGCACTCTTCGGTGGATTTGACATCCTGTGTACCGCTGTGCAGGATGTGGGCTCGTACCACTCGTCTTGCCCGCAGTGCCCATCATTTCCCTGTGGATGTCGGTCACACTAGAATAACCCGTTATAGTACCTCCTTCTTTCTTTACACAGCCAAACTGTGGAATGCTCTGCCTTCTTCTGTGTTTCCATGCTCATACATTCTGTCTCACTTCAAAAAGCTGGTTTTCCGGCATCTTTGTGGTGTAGATTAATATAATCTTTTTCTTTTCTAATTTTAATTTCTTTTTACTCTTATGGTTCTTGTATATCATCTTCCATTAGGAAATTAAATACCATAAACTAACAAGCCGAAATTATGTCACCTACACGACCAATCTGATAACACCACAACCACTTATACCAGTACACCACTACTACACCACCACTACTCCCACCAGTGCACCACCACTACTCACACCACTACTACACCACCACTACTCACACCACTACACCACCACTACACCACCACAACTCAAACCACTACACTCACAACACCACTACACTCCACACCACCACCACACACCACCACTACACACACCACCACTACACCACCACTACACCACCACTACCTCACACCACCACTACACCACCACTGCTCACACACCACTACACCACCACTACACTCACACCACCTCTACTCACTACACCACCCTACTCACACCACTACACCACCCTCTCAAACCACTACACTCACACCACCACTACACCACCACTACACTGACACACCACTACACCACCACACACTCACACACCACACACCACCACTACACTCACACCACCACTACACCACCACTACACTCACACACCACTACACCCACTACACTCCACCACCACTACACCACCACTACACTCACACCACCACTACACCACCACTACCTCACACCACCACTACTCACACCACTACACCACCACTACACTCACACCACCACTACACCACCGCTACACTCCACCACCACTACTCACACCACTATACCACCACTGCACTCACCACCACTACACCTCCACTACCTCCCACCCACCACTACACTCACACCACCACTACACCACCACTACACTCCACCACCACTACACCACCACTACACTCACACCACCCACTACACTCACACCACCACTACACTCACACCACCACTACTCACACCACCACGACACCACCACTACACTAACATCCAACACTACACTCACACCACTACCTCACACCACCACTACACTCACACCACTACTGCACTCACACCACCACTACACTAACACACTACTACACCCACCACTACACTCACACCACCACTACACTAACACACTACTACACCACCACTACACTCACACCACCACTCACACCACCACTACTCACACCACCACTACACTCACACCACCACTACACTCACATCACCAGTACACTCCACACCACCACTACACTCACACCACCACTACGACCACCACCACTACCTCACATCACCACTACACTCACACCACCACTACACCACTACTCCACCCCACTACTCACCACCACTGCACCACCACTACAACACACCAACACCACCACTACTCACACACCACTACTCACACCACCACTACTCACACCACCCACACCCACCACACTCACACCACTACACCACCACTACACTTACACCACCACACACCCACCACCTCACACCACCACTACACTCCACCACCACTACACTACTCCACACCACCACTACGTTACACCACCACTACACTCACACCACCACTACCTCACCACCACTACACTACTCCACACCACCCTAAACCACCACTACACGACCACCACTACTCACATCACCACTACACTCACACCAACACTACACTCCACCACCACTACACTCTCACCAACACTACCCCCACACCACCACTACATTCACACCACTACCTCATACCACCACTACGACCACCACTACTCACACTACCCCCTCTCACACCACCACTGCACCCACCACTACACCTAACACACCCACCACCACACCACCACCACTACTCACACCACCACTACACTTACACCACCACTACCTCACACCACCACTACACTCACACCACTCCCATCACCACTACACACTCACCACCACCACTCCACCACCACTACACTCACACCACCACTACACCTAATCCACACCACCACTACACTCACACACCACTACCACTAACACCACCACTACACTCACACACCACCACACCATTACACTCACACCACCACTACACTACTCACACCACCACTACACTCACACCACCACTACCTCCACACCGCTACCACCACACTCACACCACCACTACACCACTACACCACCACTACCTCACACCAATACTACACCACCACTACCCACACCACCACTACACCCACACACACCACCACTACACTCACACCAATGCACACACCCACTCACACCACCACTACACTCACACCACCACTACACTCCTACACCACTCACACCACCACTACGCTACACCCCACTACCTCACACCACCACTCACACCACCACTACACTACTCACCACTACACCACCACTACACCACTACTCATCACCACTACACTCACACCACTACCTCTCACCACCCACTCACACCAACACTACATACACCACCACTACACTCACACCACCACTACACTCCACCACCACTACACTCCATACCACTACACTAATCACACCACCACCACACACCTACCTCACCACTACACTCACACTACCGCCACCACCAATACCTCCACACCACCACTACACTACACCACCACTACACTCACCAATACTACCACCACCACTACCACTACCTCCACACCACCTCTACATTTACACCACCACTACCACCACTACACTCACACCCACTACCCACCACACACCACCACTACCTCACACCAATGCTACACACCACCACTCACACCACCACCATCACACCACCACACACTCGCACCACCACTCACTCACCACCACACTTACACCACCACTACACTCCACACCACCACTACACTCACACCACCACTACACTACTCCACACCACCACTCACACCACTACGACCACCACTACTCCATCACCACTACACTCACCACCACTACCTCCACCACACCACCACATTCACCACCACTACACTCCCACCACTACACCACCATTACACTTACACCACCACTACATCACCCACCACTACACCACCACTACATTCACACCATCACTACGCTCACCACCACTACCTCCACCACTACCTCACTACACTCACCACCACTACACCCATTACACTCCACCACCACTACACCACCATTACACTCACACTCACACCACCACATTCACACCACCGCTCACCACCACTACACTCACACCACCACTACACCACCATTACACTTACACCACCACTACACTCACACCACTACTACACCACATGTTAACAACCTTCACAGTGGCACATGTTAAGAACCTTCACAGTGACACATGTTAACAACCCCTTATGACACATGTTAACAACCTTCACAGTGGCACATGTTAAGAACCTTCACAGTGACACATGTTAACAACCTTCACAGTGGCACATGTTAACAACCTTCACAGTGGCACATGTTAACAGCCATCACAGTGACACATGTTAACAACCTTCACAGTGGCACATGTTAACAACCTTCACAGTGGCACATGTTAACAACCTTCAAAGTGACACATGTTAACAACCCTTACAGTGACACATGTTAACAACCTTCACAGTGGCACATGTTAACAACTTTCACAGTGACACATGTTAACAGCCATCACAGTGACACATGTTAACAACCTTCACAGTGGCACATGTTAACAACCCTTCACATGACACATGTTAACAACCCACAGTGACACATGTTAACAACCTTCAGTGACACATGTTAGCAACCTCACAGTGGCACATGTTAACAACCCCTACCGTGGCACATGTTAACAACCTTCACAGTGGCATGTTAACAACTTTACAATGGCACATGTTAAGAACCTTCACAGTGGCACATGTTAACAACCTTCACAGTGACGCATGTTAACAACCTTCACAGTGGCACATGTTAACAACCTTCACAGTGGCACATGTTAACAACGCTACAGTGACACATGTTAACAACCTTCACAGTGGCACATGTTAACAGCCTTTACAGTGGCACATGTTAACAACCTTCACAGTGACGCATGTTAACAACCTTCATAGTGGCACATGTTAACAACGCCACAGTGGCACATGTTAACAACCTTCACAGTGACGCATGTTAACAACCTTCACAGTGGCACATGTTAACAACCCTTACAGTGGCACATCAGTTAAAACCTTCACAGTGGCGCATGTTCACCCTACAATGGCACATGTTAACAGCCATCACAGTGGCACATGTTAACAACCCTTACAGTGGCACATGTTAACAACCCCTTACGGCATGTTAACAACCTTCACAGTGGCACATGTTTACAACCTTCACAGTGGCACATGTTAACAACCCTCACAGTGGCACATGTTAACAACCCTTACAGTGGCACATGTTAACAACCTTCACAGTGGCACATGTTAACAACCTTTACAATGGCACATGTTAACAACCTTCACAGTGGCACATGTTAACAACCTTTACAATGGCACATGTTAACAACCTTCACAGTGGCACATGTTAACAACCTTCACAGTGGCACATGTTAACAACCTTCACAGTGACGCGTAACAACCTTCACAGTGGCACATCTTAACAACCTTCACAGTGGCACAGTTTCGTATATTCTGATGATGATAACATGTGTAGAGGAAGTATTGATGACTGTGGCTCTTGTGTAGTGTTTATTTTACTTGCGTCACGTGTTAGGTTGCTATAATGAGCAGACAGGTGAAGCAACACAGTTATTTGATCTGTGTAAGATGTTGCGGTTTAGACCAGATAAAGTTATATACTGTTCTGCCTACTGCACGACTTTTAACACTAATGCTGACCATGTATAAAAAAACATTTAATGTTTATGTGTGTGTGTATATGTAATATTTTTTATATATTTCTTTGTTTTTTTTTTCAGATAAAAGCTTTATGTTAACACAAGCGTCCCTGCACTCCACATGTTAGGTGGAAGAGGCGTGCTAGGCGTCACCTGCTGGAGCTGGTGACGTCTGAAATACTCAGCTGTACTTACGGAATTCCACTGCTGTCAGTGGCACTGCCGGGGTCGTGTGATCTATAATTGTTCTTGTTGGGTGAGGCAGCACGCCGTCAACTACGGAGGCAAGAAGGAAGCATTAGAGGTGTTGTGGGCATGCTGCTGCACATGACCATTATGGAACAAAGGGTTGTGAGGTGCCACAGTGTAGTGTAAGCAAGCCAAAGAAACAAGTAGTCATAGATATAAGCAAGCCTGCATTGGATCCATGGTGCCTGGGACAGTATGCGGACGCGTCCACCTGTTGAGAGAAGTTACGAGACAAAAGTGAGCTTCCTTCTCAAGGATAAGAGGCCCCCATCAGTGGCACTCCACTGACCAGCACAGTACTCGTGTTGGCACTCTTGGAGTCCTCGGGTGGGTGTGCCAACCAGTAGGCCGACCGTGCCCTTGTGCCATCACCACCTGCACGTGAACCAGTCAGGAAGCGTAAGGAGTCGTGATGAGCGGTGGTGCTCTGCATGAGCACCACACAAACTCCCACGACTTTCCTTGGACTTGTGTGCTCTCTCTGTGAGCACTTGTGTTCTAAGTTGTGCACACCAGTTTGGTCGGTCACATCCTGGGGATCAGAGAATAAAAGACATGTATACTTGTACATAGCCATATAAACTATATAATAAGCTCTGTGTTTACAATGTTGTGTCTAGTGCTTCTGTTTGGCAACAATGTGAGACTGAAGTGTTAGTGTAAATACTGGTAAAGTGGCCCGAGTGGTGGTGTTTGTACACACAATGGAACGTGCCTTGATTGACTTTGCATTTACATCAGTGTAGAACCGGATAGACCAGTTGATTTGGTTTATGTAATTTTATTAGATATTTGGTGTACATAATTTGTCTTCCTTCTTTACTTTTAGTTGTATATTTCTGTCCTGGTAATATGAGTTAGCGTGGTGCACCAGGATGGATGGCGCCAGAACTGCCTATGTCATTCTAAACCTTCTATTCATTCTTTAATTATTTTGTTACAAATTACATGAAAAATCACGCAGGTACGCTTCAGCACCAACACTTCTTGTCCAGTAAGGTGCTTCACCCTCCGGCAGTTGAGGTGTAGAAGGTTCATATACTTGCCATGGTACTAAATGTATGCGTTTAGGTAGCGTCTAGGTGAGAGCATCAGCAGGTAACTGTTCAGGTTATACAACAATAATTAACTGCGAATGTCTTATTTATTCAAAATTACAGGAGATTTTGTTGATTGAAGCTTCAGTAGTGCCTTAAAGATATGATTTATGGTAAAGGCGGGACGAAAGTGAGTAGGGAAGGAGATGTACAGGAGTGATGCGCCTCCCTTCACACAGCCCCTCACGCTGCCAACTTCATCACCTAAATTTTATGCCCTATTTTGGACTTACCGACTTGTCATTTAATTTTCTAATTTTAATATGACGTTAACGCAGAGATGTGGCTTGAGGAGGACCAGAGGCAAAAACTTTACCACTTGTTCACTACCTGGGTCCTCCATCAACGTAAAATTTACTGGAACAAAAATATTATGAAAGAGAATGAAGACAGCAGTCAGACGGAGAAAGGTACTGTACTATACTGTTTTGACAGTACTGTACTGTACTGTACTGTACTGTACTGTACTGTACTGTACTGTACTGTACTTCAATCATTTGTTTTTATAATTTATCACTTGGTGGTAATACAAGTGCCAACACTCAACAGTTGTCTCTTCTACGGAGTTATTAAACTTACCGTCAGTATGAGAGAGCTTTAGCTTTCCCCGGATGGTAACAAATAAAGTCAGTTTTCTCATTAATGAGGAAGAATTAGAGTTACATTAAGCACATCTTACCGAGTAAAGGGTCTCCTTCTATACTCTAGATATGATATAAAGGCATCAGGAGCTGGGAGAGCAGGATCACACCAACCCTTGTGACTTGTGGAGCGAATAATTTGTTTGGCTGCTAAATTTTTTAAGCATAAGCCCCTTCCTTCCCCATGTTCGACCAGCCACTTCAGTTCTCTCTCTCTTTACTTACATTTGAGGCGGCACCCGCGTTGCTGCTTGTTGAAACCAGCAGGTGAGGTACTGAAGGACATTCTACTTCTTAGTTAGGGTACCCTATCATACTCCTTGTGAAGTTTTCTCGTCTTTTCAAGAATCTAATATTTTCTCCCTATTATTTTCTACTCGCCGAGCTGGCTGGCTAGCTCTGGTTAATGGTTTTGTATGGTACGAGGTTTGATAAAGTATGTTTTTCGGCATTTAGGTGTCTCCTAGTACGGACAGTGGCCTGCCAGGCTCGTCCAGTGCCCCATGGGAGAGGGGATGGTCAGGAACCGTCTCCCCTACCACCTGGGACAGACAGGCCCTGCACCTGCTCGGGGCTCTGCTCTTACCCCCTCCCTACAAGTGAAGTTTATCTATAAATTACACAATACACCATAGTGGCACAACCTGCCGCACAGTGGGTGCCATTACTCCTCTGTTTCAGGGGTAGGGTGGCACAACCTGCTGCACAGTGGGTGCCATTACTCCTCTGTTTCAGGGGTAGGGTGGCACAACCTGCCACACAGTGGGTGCCATTACTCCTCTGTTTCAGGGGTAGGGTGGCACAACCTGCTGCACAGTGGGTGCCATTACTCCTCTGTTTCAGGGGTAGGGTGGCACAACCTGCCACACAGTGGGTGCCATTACTCCTCTGTTTCAGGGGTAGGGTGGCACAACCTGCTGCACAGTGGGTGCCATTACTCCTCTGTTTCAGGGGTAGGGTGGCACAACCTGCTGCACAGTGGGTGCCATTACTCCTCTGTTTCAGGGGTAGGGTGGCACAACCTGCCGCACAGTGGGTGCCATTACCTCTGTTTCAGTAGGGGTGGCACAACCTGCTGCACAGTGGGTGCCATTACTCCTCTGTTTCAGGGGTAGGGTGGCACAACCTGCTGCACAGTGGGTGCCATTACTCCTCTGTTTCAGGGGTAGGGTGGCACAACCTGCTGCACAGTGGGTGCCATTACTCCTCTGTTTCAGGGGTAGGGTGGCACAACCTGCCGCACAGTGGGTGCCATTACTCCTCCGTGTCGAGGGGGTGGGGACAGTACTACTTGATCTCATTCCCTGGTTAGTGGCAGTAGTTGACCAGATCCCACACTCCCGCTGCCTCCGGAATTCCTAGGCTAGCCTGTAGTTTGGTTCATGCAGTGATCTTCTAAGGAGGAGGACCTGCATCGCTGAGGTGTGACGGCGGTCCCCGGGTCTCCACCCAGGTCTGGACTACAACCTTCACTCTTAGTGGAAGAGGAGGAAGGTGTGTCCTTCTGGTGGCCGGGGGTTCAGCCAGGCATGTGTCGTGGTCCAGCTTGAGCTCTGTGTAGGCCTCACTCTCGTTCGCTTAACTGCCGTCCTGATGTCACCTGTGCAGACAAGGCAGCCAACCTGTGCATTCTCACCATTCATCTCCACCCTTCTCTCCACTGTGAGTGAGGCGATACTAGTGTAGCTATGGTTTAGGTTGGGTGCCCTGCCTCCACACACACACACACACACACACACACACACACACACACACACACACACACACACACACACACACACACACACACACACTCACCTTCGGGTGGCCAGCAGAGTGGCCATGGTTCCCCCTCCGGCCACACTATAATTCCACTTGCCACAAACCAACTACCTCAGTTGATCGTGTACAGTTCTTCGTCAAGGTGCGTGTAGTGCGTTCAAGTAATCAAAAGATATCGGTCGGGGACGACAATAATAGACCAGTATCGGGACTCTGGGGCGTCTGAGGCTTCAGTGAGCAGAGGCCCTCAACACTACTAGGGTGTCGACGTTTCTTTCCACTCTCTGAGTTACATTATTACATTGAACAATAAGTTTGTTTTTCTGTATTCCATTGATTTCAGTTGCAAGGTCACGTAGGTTAAGGTCACGAGGGTCAAACAGTCAAAAGAAGAAGCCGATCATTGTGAAGTAAACATGAAAGGTAACAGCCGACGCAGTGAGTCCCGTTCGGTCAAATTTTATTGTAATTAATTTTAATTTTTTTATAATTATCGCCGGGGGGGTGGACCAAGGCTCTCCTCTATACCACTTGTTATTCTCTCTCATGTCCTCTGTGCGCTATGTTTGCCAGTGTCCAAAAAGCAAAAAGTAGTTTTGCTACAGACTGAGTCCAGTGTATAACATTCTTAACTATGCATAATAGATGTTTTATTTATTTTTGCTGCTCATTACGTGTCATATATGAAAAAAAATTGATGTTCCAAACCTTCAAATGATAAGAGCTAGACAGACGACCATTTCAAGTGATGATGATGATGATGATGATGATGATGATGATGATGATGATAAGATCCATAAATAATACCCCCCCCCCCAAAAAAAAAGTAAATAAAAATAAAGAAGCCAATATGAATGATTTTAAAACTGTAAATATTTAATTATATTAATAATAATAATTATAAACGTCAAGATAAATGGTTCTCGCTGTCACGTGACTCGTAGATTGTAAGAAAATGAAAATACACTTTACGAGTCAAGGACCAGTTGTTTCCTTACCCTTTTGTGTGTCTCAGGGCAGCAGTGATGTGTGTCTCAGGACAACAGTGATGTGTGTCTCAGGGCAGCAGTGATGTGTGTCTCAGGACAACAGTGATGTGTGTCTCAGGGCAGCAGTGATGTGTGTCTCAGGACAACAGTGATGTGTGTCTCAGGGCAGCAGTGATGTGTGTCTCAGGATAACAGTGATGTGTGTCTCAGGACAACAGTGATGTGTGTGTTTCAGGGCAACAGTGATGTGTATCTCAGGGCAGCAGTGATGTGTATCTCAGGGCAGCAGTGGTATGGAGGCCCCTTAGGACCCAGTGATGTGGTGTGTCTCAGGACAACAGTGGATGTGTGTCTCAGGGCAACAGTGATGTGTGTCTCAGGGACTCCAGATGTGTGTCTCAGGGACAGTGATGTGTGTTTCAGGGCAACAGTGATGTGTATCTCAGGGCAGCAGTGATGGGGTGGCCCTCAGGAATTCCAGCAAGTGATGTGTGTCTCAGGACAACAGTGATGTGTGTCTCAGGGCAACAGATGTGTGTCTCAGGGCAACAGTGATGTGTCTCAGGGCAACAGTGATGTATCTCTGGGCAACAGTGATGTGCCTCAGGGTCACAGGATGTGTGTGTCTCAGGGCAACAGTGATGTGTCCCAGACAACAGTGATGTGTGTGTTTGTGCGGCCAGTGATGTGTATCTTGTGGGCAGCAGTGATGTGTGTCTCTAGGCAGCAAGGGGATGTGTCTGTAGGATAACAGTGATGTACCCAGACGAAGCCAGTGAGGGTGTGTTTCAGGGCAGCGAGTGATGTGTGTGGCCCCAGGCAAACAGTGATGTGTGTTTCAGCAGTGATGTGTGTGTGTCTCAGGGCAAGCAGTGATGTGTGTCTCAGGCAACAGTGAGCGTGGGGTCACAGGGCAACAGTGATGTGTCTCAGGGCAACAGTGATGTGTGTCTCTAGGGCAACAGTGATGTGTGTCTCAGGGCAACAGGATGTGTGTCTCAGGGCAACAGTGATGTAACTAGGGCAACAGTGATAAAATTCTAGGCAACAGTGATGTGTGTGTCTCAGGCAACAGTGATGTGTGCCTTCAGGGCAGCAGGGATGTGTGGCCTCAGGGGCAACAGTGATGTGTGTCTCAGGGCAACAGTGATGTGTTCAGGCAACAGGAGTGTGTGTCTCAGGGCAACAGTGATGTGTGTCTCAGGGCAACAGTGATGTGTGTCTCAGGGCATGTGTGTCTCAGGGCAACAGTGATGTGTGTCTCAGGGCAACAGTGATGTGTGTCTCAGGGCAACAGTGATGTGTGTCTCAGGGCAACAGTGATGTGTGTCTCAGGGCAACAGTGATGTGTGTCTCAGGGCAACAGTGATGTGTGTCTCAGGGCAGCAGTGCTGTGTGTGTCAGGGCAACAGTGATGTGTGTCAGGGCAACAGTGATGTGTGTCTCAGGCCAGCAGTGCTGTGTGTGTCAGGGCAGCAGTTGTAATGAGACAGAATAAACAGAGAAGAGGAAGATATATATATATAGGAGAGAGTATAGAGTATAGGAATGTAAAGATAGGAAACTTGGTAGCGTGGCCTGGATGTTATTTGCACAGCGTCACTACGCTTATCTTATCTCGTATGTCAATACACATATATCACTTCTTAAAGGGACAACTTGTTAAACACCTCTTGATACAACTATTTATTACTTCCTCAATGACATGGACACATTAATATCACTCTTATATCGGGGTACTAACACATCATGCTTTACGTTACTTGACACTGACTCTCGGACACACCTGAATGAATACACTTCCCACAGTAGGTAACTCACCCTAGGACGTTCTGACAAGACTCACGTGTACCCTGACGTAGGCCCAGTGAGTGCTGGCTGGGCTGCCTCCTATGAGAGGCTTCTGCTTAGCTGGGGTCTGGTCGGGAAGTCCCCTTCCCGACATGGGGAGAGGGTGAGCTTGACTCTGAGAAGTGAACCGAGTGACGACCCGAACGGGAGAGAGATGACAGCAACCAGAATGAGAATCGTAATGGAATCCCGAATGGAATCTCGAATGCCGAAATGGAATATTGAATATGGAATGCCCGTGGACGGGACTGTAGGGCCTTTATATGGGGTCGGCCCAGCCGGCTTCTGACCTCTAACAATTAACACTAAACTGGTTTGATCTGGATAATTGTGTGCAGGTGTGGTCCTGGCCAGGTGTCTTGGCTAGGTGCGGTTGTAGGTCACCGGCTCACGTCATTAGCGGGCAAGGTCAAGTCCCTAGGGTCGACCTGAGGTGTGTCAACCTGGAATGCGGTGGTACCACGAGGTCTGTGGTGTACTTGCTGTTATATGTGACATAATTCTGGGCTGTAAGGTTTGGTCTGACAATCACTCATTACACCTCCCGCCAAGACCAAAGCTTCATCACAGAGACTGATGTCACATATAGACAGCAACATCACGTGTGGTATCAAAGATAATCCCTGGGGCGCTAACATAGTCTCACATTTACAACCAACAATCTCATAGGTGTATGTTTTTCTACTGGCGCTAGTTTGATCTGACAAAGCTCACTATACCTCCCGCCAAGATCAAAGCTTCTATGCCAGGAGAAAAAGGAAACATAGCAAGTGAACATAGAATGAAAAAATCCTTCATATGTAGCATAGTGTCCGAGGCAACCTTGCAAATCACATTCTACAAACAATAACAGGTGTTACATTTCCTTATCAGCCCATGTCAAAATAATAATTCATCTCAGTCAGTAATATAGCTACAACATCGTGTTTCATAGTCCAAGACATTGATCAAATGAACTCATAGAAAAAAGTGAGACTAAAAAAAAGACATTCTTTGTAGTAAACATCAACAAAATCAGAGAAAATACTTCAAAATACACA